ATGTGTATATATACCTTACATGTGAAGTGCATTTCTTCTTAGTTATATGTTACAAATACTTTATTCATGTATCATCACCTTTTCACTTTATACCGTTTTAAGACACAAATTTTTAATTTTTAAGAAGTTAAATTTATCCACTTTGTTTTAGTGTTTCTATACTGTATTCGGTATCATACTAAAAAAGAACTTATGCAGTCAAGATTTTATTTTAGTTTTCTCATGCTTTCATATTCTTCTGGGATGTCTTTAGTGTCACTTTTTTTTACATTTGTGTCTTGATAATCTGAACTTTATTTTATTATGAAGAGTAACATGAGGATTCAGTCTTGTTTTTGTCCCAGTAGCGATCTAGATGTTCTAAAAGTACATTGGTTAAGCCATCATTCTTGCACTATTTGAAATAATTTCATTTTCATAAATTAACCTTCCATATGTGTTTTGGATTTACTTAAGTGTTTAGTGTTCTATGTTTTGATTTATGGATCTACTTTTCTACTTTTGGGACTGCCTTATTTACTGTGACTTTGAAGCATATTTTATTACTTTATAGGACTACTCTCTCCTCATCATTTTTTTTTCCCTACCCTTCCTGGAAATTCTCACAACTTTATTTTTTCCCACGGGAAATTTAGAATAATGTTTCAAAATGGTTGACAATTTTACTGTGTCTGAACTAAGTTTATAGATTATTTTAGGTAGATTTGACATCTTTACAATATCAAATCTTCTATACTAAGAAAGTGTGCGTTTTCATTTATTTACATCTTGTTTTACATCTTTCAATAGAGTTTTATGGTTTTCTGCATGTAGGTCCTACATATTTCTAGTTTAGGTTTATTCCTAAGGATTTTATCTTTCTAATTGATGTATTATACATAATGTTTCCTTCCACTGTATTTTCTGATTATTTTATGCTTAAGAAAGTTGTTGGTTTCTACATATTACTTTTATACCCTGACACCTTACCGAATTTTCTTACAATTTTGGGGGTTTTGGGGGAGGAGTTTTTTGCTTTGTTTTGCTTGAGACAGGGTCTCACTTTTTAATTCAGGCTTCTCTTGAACGCACTATATAGCCCAGGTTGGCCTTGAACTCACAGTGGTCCTCCAGCCTCAGCCTCCCGAGTGCTACGATTACAGGCATATGTTGCCATGCCTGGCCTAGAATTCTTCCTTATGAATTTTCCAGTAAAATAATCATATCATCTATACATAATATCACCTGTTCCAAAGTTTACATATTTATCGTGCCAAATTGCATATCTAATGCTTTCAGAACAATTTTAAATACCAGTGGAGAAAGTAGGCAATTTCTTTTATTTGTAATTTTAGTAGGAATCCTTCTAGTATTTTGTTTGCCATTACGCACAATATTAACTTTTGCCTGTACAAAATGTATGATGATAATTACGGTCTATAGAATACCCACATTTCTCTATTTTTTTCAATCTGGAAAGTCTGGAAATGATGTTGAATTGTTATCACATATATTTTAGGATTAGGGAGACTGTGTTGTGACTTTCATTCTTTGGTTTATTGATGTTGTCTGTTATGTGACTAGATTTTAAATATGGAACCAGTCTTATTTATAAGATTAACTGTATTTGTTTATGGTGTACTGTTTGTGTAATATCCTCCTAGATTCTCTTTGATATTTTATTTAAGATTTTTGCATCACTATTCAAGTTTTACTTTATGTATTTTCTAGTTGTTGCATTCTGGTGTCATTGTTATGCAGAAATATTTCTTCTCTTTTTGTTCTCTAGATTCCAGAGTCAAGAAAGTATAAGTAGCATTGATATTTTCTGATTCATGAAAGTTGATCAAATTAATATGAGATTATATGACTGTGTTATTTTTGCTAGAAATCATCCATAGTTTTCTGTGGCAACTGGTGGGTTAGATAATCTGTAGTGAGTTTTGTAATTTTTGCTTTTCTAGAAAATCATCCTGAGTTTTCAGTTTGTTGTAAATAAAGCATTCTTTTAGTCTTTTCATTTGTTCTGTAATTGGTTACTTCTCCGTTTCTGTTTGTATGTTTGGGGTGTTAAAATTAGGTTGACAAGTATTTGAAGAACTGACCTTGGCTTTCATTATCATTTCTATCATTTGCATTTTAATGTATCAGTTTTATATAGTTTTGCTTTGCTTAAGCTTATTTTTAAGATTCTTTGCATAACTTCTTTTGTGGAAGATTTGATTTAATTTGTACTCATATATCAATCTATTTGGGAATGCAGTTAACCAATCATATCCTCTAGCTTCTAATATTTTCCTCATTGTTATTTGCTAGGTATTACACAATTTCCTCATTTTCTAAAGTTGATGAATTTTCCCCTATTTTCTATAGGCTAGAAATTTCTGTGTTTTAAATTTGTTATTAATTTCCAGTGTTATCTTATTGTCATTAGAGAATGTTTTAAAAACTACTTCTGCTTTCTGGCTCCATATGTGTAGACAGTTTTTAAAATACTCAATAAGCCCTTGAAAAGAAAATATAGCCTTTTTGTTTCACACCCTTTTTAGTGCATAGTTATTATACCGACTATTAGATTTTATTTTAACACATTCGTGTGTGAATGTAACTACTTTGATCATTTCAGTCTTAGTGTATGACGAAACTTAGATTTTTTCATTCTCTTAGTTTTCAATGAACATAGTCTGTCATCAATTGAAATAGGATTACATTTTGTTTTTGCTTTTTTCCACCTTTGCATTTGCTATAGATTTTACTTTATCAATTTCGATGTATTGTTTTAGTGCACAAAGTTTCAGGGTAATTAGAGCCTTGTCTGTGTCTTATTTATTGCTTTTTGCGTTTAATAAAATGTATTTATAAGGGGAATATCATAATTTTTAAAAATTTCATATTTTGTGTGTTAAACAAATATTTATCAAAGACCTACTATGTACTAGTCACTAGACCTATTGAATAAAATATAAGATCCCTCCCTTTTGGAACTTACATTTTGAACAGTAGGACACAAAATAAGTGAAAATAGGTACGTAACATATTAGGTTGGAATGAATGGTCAGAGAAACAACAAGTAGACTTAAGGATAATTAAGAAGTCTCTATATTAGATCAACTAATCAGGAGACGCCTCTCTGCCTGGTATGCGTTTATTATCCTTTATGTCCACCACTACTTTTTGTTTTTATTTTTATTTTTCCTGAGGACTGTGCCAGGCAGAAGAGTTTACACATACACATAAGAAATTCCTCTTCCTGAGGAAAGAGAGCATAAGGGATCTACACACAGAGAGAAAGGAAGTGGAGGTATCTGAATATGAATTTCTGATCCATTAGCTAGTTTGGGAGAGAATCTGAGATATGGAGAGTGAAAGATATTGTGCTTTCCATTGTATCTGAGCCGGGCTACTATTGCATATATTATTATTTTTAAAGAAATATTCTCAGTCTTCATGACTGCTGAATGGATGTTCTGTCTGATGATCTGATTGAACCCTTGGAATTTCCTGTCACTGGGTAGGACTTAGCATGATGTTGATTGCTCAGAGGCTACAACAGGAAACTGGATTTTATAGCTCAGAGGGCTTAACCATTTATATTCCGGGGCAAAAGTGATGTCTTTTAAGTTTATTATATTGGAGACTGACATTTTATACATAAAATATCTATATTAATAGACCTGGACTTTTTCCTTGAACATTTTTTTCTATTACAAGAGAATATTATTTTGCCTCCCATATGATAGTCTTTTAAATTTTTCTGGTATTTTTTCTAACTATAATATATATGTTTCTATAATATTTATATTCATATAATTATATATGTAGTACATTAAAATTATATATAAACACATCCATCTGTCTTGATCTTGAATTTATTTTGATATACAATATATGGTATTTCTTCAAATAGCACTGTTCTACAGTTACCTCAAAAAAGATTTATTGAACAATATTTTGTTTTTTCCTTCTTTTGGAAGATTATATCTGATGTTTTTATAGACAGTATGCTTTCTAGAATTTCTATTCCATCAATCAGTAAAATACTTTTAATTACAATTGTTTTATAACATGCTAAATCTTTTACTTATCCCCTTCCTTTTACTTATCCCCTTTCAGTAGCAGAAAAATTTTAATGTAATATCTTGTCTTTTCTTGCAAAGTACCATTTAAAAAATCTATAGTTATAAATTTTATGTTTGGAATTCTTATTGAAACTTTACTAGAGGAAGATATTTTAAATCCAAATAGCAGATAGTTGTGAATGGTCTCCTTGGTATTTTTGCTACAAATATAAGAACATAGATAGTATCTGTATCTAATTCATAATATGGGTTGCATCTAAGGAAGCAAGAAAGGAAATACCGGTGAGGAATAATACAAAGGAGATTGTTTATTCTTTAGAAAGAAAAATGCATGGAGCATAGGTGGAAAGTATTAAAATGCACTAATTTTGAGTGGTAGGTGGGAACATGGCTCTTTATTATGACATCTGTACATTTGTAAATGTTTGAAATTTCTCTTAATTAAAAATAAAACAAAAATATCAGATAAACCACAACAACCAGACTGTAAGCCCCAAAATATAGCATATCTAGGTATCTGGGTGCTGTAAACAGAGTAGGTCAATGTGTATGTATCCGTACTTTAGAGTGAGATAGTTCAAGTTCAAATCCTAACTCTACCATGTACTAGCTTTATGACCCTATGAAAATTACTTAACCTATGCTTTACTTTCCCTCACTATAAAATAATAATGACAACTACCTCCCAGGGTTATTGTGAAGGTTAAATCAGATATAAAAACACTTAAAATAGTGTCTGACACTTAATATATGTACAGTAATTCTTAGCTATCATTACTGTTATTTTATTATTGTGATTATTATTACTGTGACTAGTGCAATTGATATATACATCACAATGGTTTTGCAGCCATTTAAAATTGTATATAAGTGGTGTTTCCAAAATATAGAGCCATCTGCAAAGTGCTTTGTCTTACTCAAACTTCATCTACTGTTTTGCAGGGAAATAGCTCACTCCAAGGCCAACTTTCCATGGGCAACTCCTTTCCATTCCTGCCTTGAGAACCCAGCACTGGACTTAAGCCACCGAGCAATTTCTTCTCTTGACCTCCTTGGAGACTCCAGACATGCCTTGAAAAAAACAGAAGAAATTTCAGTTTATGAGGAAGAGAACTCCTTTGCCTCCATGCCTCGTCCACTGCGTAGCCGTGCCTTCTCAGAAAGTCACATCAGCTTGGAGCCTCAGAATACCCAGGCTTGGGTGCAGCGTCGGAGGGAGCTGTTTACCAAAGGCGATGGAGCACATCCTGATCCTACTGGAGCCAAGAAAAAGGCCTTTCCTCCTCCTCGCCCTCCTCCTCCCAACTGGGAAAAGTACAGGCTCTTTCGGGCAGCCCAACAGCAAAAACAACAGCAACAGCAACAGCAACAGCAACAGCAGCGACAACAGCAGCAACAGCAGCAAGAAGAGGATGAAGAAGAGGTACAGGAGGAAGACGAGGGAGAAGAGGAAGCAGAAGATTTACCACCTCAGTATTTTAGTTCAGAAACCATTGGTACCTGTGCTCTCAATCCTAAAGAAGTCGTGGAACAGCCACAACCTCTGAGCCTCGACCACTTGGAGGCCTCAAGGCAGAGTTCACAAAGCATCTCAGACCAAGAGTCCTTATGTCTCCATTCCAGTGATTTCCTGCCTGCAGTAAGGAGCCACCTAGGATCTCACTCCGAGCAGGCACAGCCCCCTTTCTATTATGGCATTGGTGGACTTTGGAAGACATCAGAACGGGAAGCCACTGATTCCCCCAAGTAAGTGTTTGTGAGAGACCCTGGGTCCTTGAAGATCTAGGCAGCATGAGATTGAATTCTACTTCTATTATTTACCAGCTTCAGGCTGTTAAATTTCTCCCAGCCTTAGAGCTCTTACCTGATAACACTTGTTCTGCATGATTAAGTATTATATGCAAACAACAGAACTACATAAGTAGCACATAGTCAGTGCTCAATAAATAGAGGTTATGCCTACATATCATCATTAAACTATTTTATTATTATTCCATTTGTCTTTAAGGTATGTATCAATACCTGGCCCTTGATCCCAGAAACACAGGCCTACTAAAGCCTTTTTGCTTGTACTAGGCCTTTACTGGATACCTGGCTTAAGGTCTTTTTATGGAAACCTAGTTTGCCAATCTTCTGTAGGCTAAGCAACCTGGGCCTCTAAACTCTCCCACCTCAGCATTAAAATTCCTGAAACAAGCTGTTTGTATCCTGATAATTCCTTACAATAGCTAACAACAATCCTTATCTCTTCCACTTACCCCCCCCCCTTCCTTGCTTCCCTGCCTTTTTGAATTTCACAGAGAAATCAAAGCAAAAATGTGGTCTGCATGGGACTACAGGACTTTGTTCATTTCACTGTGCCAGTGCTTCTGAACCCCACAATATCTCATTATCATTTTTACCCCAGAGCAAAGCCCCAAGACTACCATTGCACAGTGCTTCAGCTTTCAGCTCTAAAGTGTCCTTCTGCAGAGAGCACTGCCCATTGTCTCCTGAGGTTGAGAGCAGGAAAGAAGTGTCTTTCAAATGTTTCTTTAAATCACTTTAAAACAAAGTTCCTAAGACTTATTGCTACTAGATGTACTTTGTTGTTGTGCTCTTTATTGACAGGTGAATCTTGTTACTTGACAATCTGGAGCAGGTTAAGCGATTTTCCAGTCTGAGGTGCTGCAAGCCTTCTCCCCTCCCCTCTCCTTTCCTCTCCTCTGCTCTTCCTTTCCTCCTTCCCTCCCTCCCTTCCTCCCTCCCTCCCTCCCTTCCTTCCTTCCTTCCTTCCTTCCTTCCTTCTTCCTTCCTTCCTTCCTTCCTTCCTTCCTTCCTTCTTTCCTTCCTTCTTTCCCTCCTTCCTTTCTTTTTTCTTTCCTTCTTTTTTAAGACAGGGTGTCACTTTGTAGTTCAGGCTGTCCTTGAACTCACTATTTAGTCCAAGCTTGCCTCAAACTCACAGAGATTCTTCTGTCTCAGCCTCTCAAGTGCTGGAATTTACAGGCATGTGCCACCCTGACCAGCTGTCACTTAAAGTATTTTCATGGCCTGGCCTCCAGGCATTGTGAGAATTCCTTCATGTGGCTACTTCTCAAGCTGTCTGACCTCTCTAGGGATCATTCTTATTTGCGGCTAGAAAATGTTTTGGGGAAAGTAACTGTAATTTTTAAGTATCACAGATAAGAGAAGGGAAGGGTAGATACTTAACTAATGTTTCAAAAGAAAGGGAGGATGAATAAGTGAGTGAATGAATGAATGCACATTTATTAAGTATTTACTATGTATTGGACACTGCTATGAATTTTATGTCTATTATTTTATTTAATTCTCCCCACTCCTGTTAGCCATTATTATCCCCACTTGACAATTGAAGAAACTAAATTATAACAAATAAGTGACTACCTAATTCAGTGTTAAACCTCAAAGATTCAAGATCTGACTTTCTAACTTATGATTAATTTTTTTCTTCAAGGGACTTTCTTGCAAGAGATCTTGGTCTTCCAGTGGACCAGATCTTCAGGAGGTCTTTCTGTTGTAGGGTCACTTTAGAGGTAGCAATTATAGGCCCTGAACTTTCCTTCTTTGTGTACCTCCATTCATCTTTGCATACTGGCCACAAGGAGGAAATTACTATCAATAGAGATCTTGTTACTCACTCCAGAGATTATTTTAATAACAATAAGATTGGAGGAAAAACATGTTTGCAAAGAGCCTGGCTTCTGCCTGAAAAATCAATTACAGATGCTCCCTTGAGGGGCCAGAAATATAGCTCAGCAGCATAAGCACTTGCCTGGCAAGCACAAGTTTGATTCCCAGTACAGAACAACAAAAGAAAAAAAAAAGTAGAAGAATGCAGACAGATGCTCCCATGAGTGATAGAGATTTAAAGATCAGCCTCATTCCCAATATAGCTAACATTTTTACCTATTAAGTGCCATATATTGTTCTAAGCAAATGGCTAAACTTAGGACTTTTTTTTCTTTACCATAGTGTAAAAGCAATATACATTCAGTAGAAGCTATACCTCAAAATTTGCATTTTAACATTTTCCTAGGCTAATGAATTACAGAACAATTCTCTTGCAGGATGCTGGGTAGCAGCAGTAACCACATCTCCCAGTCAGCCACATGACCATGACTCTACAGTGCACTATGTTACTAAGCTGTGATATTTTCTAGATTAGGTAAACTCAATACATTTTCAAATCATGATATTTTCGACCTATGGTATCTTTATTGGGATATAACTCCACTTTAAGTTGAGGAGGATATGTGCTGATTTAATCTCTACAATAAACCTATGAAATAGTTATAATTAGTCTCTTCCATTTTTAGATGAGAAAAAGTGAGATCAAAAAAAGTGTAACTTTATTGTAGGATCACAGGCAACAAGAACCCAGGCAGTCTGATTCACTATGCCCACACATCACCTCAGGGTCTCTGGGCTCTTGAAGAAGATTCTATTCTACACCCTAGAAGTTCATAGAACCAGAATGATGCAGCTTTATTTTGTAAAGAAGTATAGTGTTAGTGGCAGGTAGATATGTAATACTTTAAACCTAAAATGCAAACAAAGACATCCAAATTTCAGACAACTTACATTGCAATTTAGTGTCGAAAATATGCATACAACCAGCTTAGCAAAATTTTCAAATATTGTTCAAGTTTAATAGCTCTGATTCAAATATAGATATAGCTTGCTCTATGGGTTATATGTACTTCTTGTCAGTGCACTGTGGAAGGACTCATGGCTTTTGCTTTACTGTTCACTTTCAAATTCTGCTTATATTCTCATGGGTTTTCTGTGATTTCTTCCCTGTTTGTAGAGATGATAAGGAAGGGAGCCTAGAGCACAGGGCCTACTATGATACACTACAACATGATACAGGGCTGGGTCTCCTCAGGAACTCAATCTACAGTCAGCGCATCCTTTATTCCTTGATAATTTCTGATTAGAAACTCCATACATTCCCTAAATATTTGAGTTCTAGACACTTATTTCTTCTTTCCTGGTGCCACTTCTGCTCGAAATGGCTCTTCCACTGAAGATCTCCCACAGCAAAGAGTTCTCCTATTGTCTCATCTGTGGTCACCATGTTAGAAGCTTAATATTTTTCTTGTACATCAAAATTCACTAAGGTTTTAACTTCCTATTCCTTCCAGAATGTTCTCTCTTCTCTGCTTACATATCCTACAGCCAGAAAATTCCTTACACTAAGATTTTATAAGATATCATTTTGTCCCTCTGTTAATATTGCATAATGGCCAAAAGCACAAATTGTGGAGTTGTACTGCCCAGGTAAAAATTGCAGGTCTGTCATTTACTGGCTGGAGACCCTGGGCTAATCACTTTACCTCTTGAAGTCTTGTGTTTCTCACCTTCTCAGTGGTTTTGATAAACATACAATTGTACATCTATATTCCCATACCTGTGTGTGTGTGTGTGTGTGTGTGTGTGTGTGTGTGTGTGTTTATGTGTGTGTGCAAACACACATATATCTATCTTAGGACAGTTTCTAAGACATGATAAGCACTGTGTGAACATCAGCTAATATTGTTACCCCATCAGTGTTATAATCTTGAAACCTTACATGTAAAATGAATTTACGTAGGATGAGGAATAATGGTATGCCCAGAATGCCCAAGTTTATTCTGTGTGATGAATTAAGAGACTGCACATCATGAACCAGTAAATGGTTGGGGAGCTTTAACTATTATGTTTAACTTGTGTCTAAGAGCTGCATATAACTGCAAGGATGATTGGATTTCTCTTACTTTCCCTTTCGGACAACTAGAGCTTAACAAAGGGGTAGTGACAAAGACAGGTGGAGGGTGAGGGTGGCCGGTAGGTAAAGAGAATATTCTGGGAGTGGGCCTCCATTTTACATAAACGCCATCACTGAAACCCGACATTGTGATATTTCTCTTCACTGTCTTCTTCTCACCAGATCAGAAGCATCACTGGCAGAGGAGTCCAAACCCAAGCCACCATGGAGCCAGAGCTTCTTCTTTCCTGAGGATAAATTCTCTTTCATGGGATGGGGCTCCGAGAAACAATTCCTTGGCCCTGCAGACTTCGGTGAACCCAAGGCAACAAGGTCTGTTACTACACTTGTCAATCCCCTGAATGTCACTGGTTCCATTTTTCCCATTTCATTTTATAACTGTGCTGGAGGCTTGGGTCACTGAAAATATGGCCAGAAGTAGAGAGATACTATCTCTTCTCAGGCTGAAGGGCTACCCTACAGCAGTTAGTCTCAGACAAGCTCATGAGAGAGCATTGGCAGGTCCCTGGCAGAGGTGCTAACCCCAACCTCCAACATGGGGACCACTGTTGAAATAATAGGTGACCTCTTTGCTATAGGAGATCTTCAGTAGATGGGCCATTTCAAGCAGAAGTGACACCAGGAAAAGAAGAAATGAGTGTCCAAGAAAACTACAGGGTGCTTTTGTAAGCAAACAGTTTAGATAGAGATGTGGTGAGTAGAGGTATGTAGATGGGTAGGAAGGAGGCAAATAAGCTTGTTAAATTGATAGCTAAGATCTTACATGCTTTTCTACTACCTAGTCCCTTCTTTGGTATTCACACACTTGTGCCATAAACCAAGGGGACTTATTGGTGAACAGAAGCCCAGACTTTTCAGGGCCTACCAGTTTTTTTTTCTGGATTTTAATGGGGCATTAATGACCATACCAAATTATCTCTAAAGAAGTCTCCCTATCTGCTAAAGTCAAGGACATGGAAACATACTTTTAGATTCTTGAGGTTTGCCTTTACTTGGATTCTAGATAGCCAAATGATCTGTTTATGTTTGAGTAGTACCAATGGAACCATTAGTATTATTATCACCAATATTATTAGTTTGCAACTTTGGTGAATTGGTGTACCATTTTGTAGATGGGAAAATTAAAGCAGAATGGTCAGCAACCTCTCAACAAAGGTCCTCAAATGATCACTGTTTCCACAGGCAAGAGTTTCAGCACTTCTCACCTCCTCCAGGGACTCAAGGAATCCCTACCTCTTACTCAGCTTATTACAATATTTCTGTGGCCAAGGCAGAGCTTCTGAACAAGTTGAAAGACCAACCAGAGATAGCAGAAATTGGCCTCGGTGAGGAGGAAGTTGACTATGAACTAGCTCAAAAAAAGGTAAAGTTTTTGGTGTACCCTAGAGATTTCTGGCATTTAGCTTGAGTGTGTGAAGATATTTTCTTTTTTTTTTTTTTTTTTAATTTAAGAGGAAAAAGAGAAAAACACAAAACAAACCAAAGCGGCGTAAGGGTACACGCAATACAGAACTACAAAACAAAACAAAACAAAACAAAACAAAACAAAAAAACATAACAGTAAGAAATTACCTGCTTTTTCAATATGGAAATCACACAGCCTGTCTGGGTTTCTCACAGTAAAATTTCAGTCTCTTTAATCCAACCAATAGTAGTAGCAGTAGTAGGGATGATCACTGTCTCTGTGCTCTTTAGACCTACAAGCTCTTTGTGTGTGTATATGCTATGGCTTTGCTTGTACTAGGCAAGCACTCTACCACTGAGCTGCCTGAAAGAGTTGCAGTACAATTTTTGTATGTGTGTTGCCAGACATTGAACCTAGGGTCTCATATATACTAAGCAATCACTCTACAACTGAACTCTACACCTATTTGCTATCATTATTATTATTATTATTATTATTATTATTAATGGTATTGGGGATGGAACCCAGGACTTTTCACATGATACACAAGCTCTACCACTGAGTCATATACCCAGTCCTGCAAAGTAAATATTACTACCCCTTTTTCTTTTTTTACTAGTTGAGAGAACTAATTTTCCTAAGGATTACAAACTAAATAATATGTCCAGAACTTGAAGTCAAGCTGAATTTCTGCCCTACAATGCTGTCTTTCAGAATGAAACCAGCCTTCAATGTAACTCAACACCCAGGACATAGTTTCTGCCACTAAACTCTAGCCTATGGCATTAACATATACTTCTTTTCTGTGCAACTTTCTAGAAAGAGTATAGACTGACTAAGGAAGATAAGAAATTATAGGCTGACATACTTTAGTATTTATTTGCAATGATTCTTATATATTTTTAAAACTACAAAACAGCTAAGTATAGATGATGATGATGATGATGATGATGATGATGATGATGATGTTCCCAAGCCTCTCTTTTGTCCTGTAAGTACCTCTAACCTAGTTTTCTGATAAAGTTCCTGGAAATACTTTGCACTCCCTATATTTACCAGTTTTATTTCATAAGCAAATATGGTTGCCATGGAAACCTCCAGTGCACATTTTACTATTTTGTGGATATATGAGCTCAGTGTAAATTACTCTTCTGTCCATTGTTCTCTTGCAGAATATGATCTTTAGGAAAGATCAGGACCATTTGCAAAAGCCTTCCTTCCAATTTTCCATCTGAAGCAAAATATCATGGGAAAAATTGGAAGCATGGTGATACTGAAACTTTTTGGCCCAGATGATCTTTCCCAAGAAAGAATCCAAATTCCATGACTCGTGAGCATAATAGGGGTGCTCCTATTTCATTCAGAACCTAGCCTTTCTGGGAGCAAACCTACAAAATATATGGCCAGAAAAAGAGAGAGATGGTCAGAAATGGCAAAACAATGAATGACGGAGAGTGATTGGCAGAGACTACAGGTAGATTAGGACAGTATTTGTCTCCAAAGATAAAAAAAAAGATAAAGAAGGTTACCAATTTTAAATAACCTGGGCAAAAAAACAATTCAGCTCTAACTGGGTCTGTGATGGCTCCACAGCTGTATCTTTTATACTTTCTCCAGGGCTAAAGGTCAAGTTTTAGAGGTCAGGTGCTGAGAAAGAAAGAACTTTCATTTTCATCTTACCATCCATCTCCAAAGCCTGGAAGCCAGGCTGGGTAGGAAATTTTCAGTGTGGATTATTCCTTGTTCCTAGCATTGAGTTTTTGTGTGAGAAAACAGAAGGTGATAACTGGGAATCTCTTGCATAATTATGCTGCCTCATTTATGTCAGTGATCCCCATATCCTAGTGGGCTTGGGAAATTTTGCCAAATGCAGACCTGTTATAATTCAGGCTATGGTCCTAGTGATCTCTGACTTTTAAACATTCTAAAATATGACAAAAGGTCCTAAAATCCAGATGAAGCTCTCTTAATCTTGGTCACCTTGTGCATTTCAAAGTAAACTGCTAGAAAAGAACATAATCTAGAAAACTACAAGCCTATGGTCCCAGAATACCTGGGCTGGAATAATAATAAACACCGAAGCATGCTTTCTATCATTTACTTTATGAGACTGGCAGCATTGTTATACTATTTTTAGATGACAATATTGTGGCACAGATGGTCAAGTAATTTGTTCACTCCATATTTTAACTGCAATGCAATACTGGCTGTGAAGGTTCTGGGCAACTTGGGGTGGCTCCATACCTGTCAGAATCTTGTAGCCAGATCAATATCCTTTATGGTGTAGAGCGCCGTGAGTTAGCAGCAGCAGCAACAGTAGTAGTAGTTGTAGTTATAGTCATAGTCATAGTGGTGGTGGTGGTAATTATGAACTTAATAATAACATCAGTAAACATAATTGGGCCTTTAGAATAACAGACACAATAATATTTCACTTCTGTGATCTCAGCAAACACCACAACAATACTGGGATTGAGTGGAGAGCTTTTCCAGTTTATACATGAAGAAATAGTAGAATTGGATATTCATTCCAAGATCTCAGAGTTTGGAGAAAACAGAATTGCATTCTGAATATCTCTGATTCTAAAACTCCACTGTACAATATTGTTTTCCTGTGAATGCAGTCCCAGAACAAGGGAAAAGCTTGGAAGACAAAGGAAGCATTTTTTTTTTCATTTTCCTTGAGAACTTAGAATCAATAACAGGCAAGGAATTTGACTCATATATAAAATAGAATGTTAAAAACTTCAAATTACACAATAGGGTTCTAATTCTAGAATACTTGAAAGCCTGGGAAAGAATGTAATCATTGAGAGAATGCTTCTAGAAGAGGACTTCTTATAGAGTAGATAAGGGCAGAGCTGTGCCCTAAAAAAAGAATAGGAATAGCCAAAGAAAAGAAAGGGTATGAGGGCAGACGGAAATGCAGAAGCAACTCAAGAATGCAAGAATGAGTTTTATGAACGCACAAAAGGATGAAGAGCTAACCCTGAAAGATTCTGAGGAGGGACTTTAGAATGGTAGAATAGGAGTAGATATAATAATAATAATAATAATGATAATAATAATAATAATAATAGCATTTAAGCATTTATTCTATGCTCTGAGGACTTGCTGTTAGCATGTATTTTGTCACTGAAGCATTACCACCCAACTCAACAGGTGCTTCAGTTATCCCCTTTGCTTCTACAGATAAAGAAAGATGTTCAATAAAATCAGATCATCCAAAGTTTCAAAGCTAGGAGGTGGCAGAGATAGACATCAAACTCAGTTATGATTTTCAGTCACATTCAAAGACATTAAAAGCCATGCTAAGTGGGCAAGGATCTAGCACAGTACCATGAACATAAGAAATACTTTTATGGATTAAAGAAGAATGAGTAAAGTGATGGGTATTTGATAACAAATACGTTTCCAACCTAGGATCTCAGAAGCATTCTAGTTCCAATTTATTATATAGTCTTATCAAGTATTCTGTTGCATTTGGCAAGTGGTACTTAGCCTACTTATCTAATTCCAGTTAGTTTTGTGGTGACATGGATATGCCTATCAAACAAGGAAAGAAAGTACCTGCCCCCAAAATTGAAAATATTCATGACCTCAAAGGATTCCTTTGTTTCCAGTGACTAGGGTAGAGCCTACCATCTGATACTTGGGTCCTAAAACACAAGTTAGAGCTATAAATCAGTTTCGGTTGGTCTCCATGCTTATCCTTTTCCTTCCCTATTTAACTCCCCTAGATACAGCTTATCGAAAGCATTGGCCGAAAACTTTCTGTCCTAAGGGAAGCCCAGCGAGGGCTGCTAGAGGATATCAGTGCCAATTCAGCCCTTGGAGAGGAGGTGGAATCCAATTTAAAAGCTGTCTGCAAATCCAATGAGTTTGAAAAATATCGCTTGTTTATCGGGGATCTGGATAAAGTTGTTAACCTGTTGTTGTCACTCTCCGGACGACTGGCACGGGTGGAGAATGCTCTTAACAGCATCGATTCAGAAGCCAACCAGGAGAAGGTAAAATTGTAGTCTCCATGAGTGTGGATGGAAGATACTGCCATCTGCTTTATTTCTCTAAACTCTTTCTTTGAGATTGGGCTATTGTGGAAGGCAGAAGAGAATAGTGCTAAGTGTGAATACTAGCTTCTAAATTCCCTGAAAACCAGGCTTTTCCAATTACTAGCTGTGTGACTATGGGCAAGTTACCTAACATTACTCTATTTTAATCTCTTCATCTATAAAGTGAGATGAACAGAGTACCTGCCTCATGGGATTGTTGTGAGAATTAAAGTAGATAATCCATGTTTATTACTTAAAACAGGGCCTGGTTCTAAGGTTGTTGTTCGGTGGTAGAGCACACTTGCCTAGCAGTGCACAAGGCCCTAAGTTCCATCCTCAGAGCTACAGAAACAAAAACAGGACCTGGAAGTGGGTAATTATTGAATCACTGCTAGCTGCCAGTAGTAGTGATGGTAGTGGTGAAAGTGGTAATGACAGTAACAGCAGCAGCAACAATTTTGCTAGAGCTGGAAGGGAATGTCTCATGGAAACACTGTCAGTTTTATAGCTCGAATCATTCTGCATCTGTCCTGAACTAAACTGCCTTACATTTCCTTACACAAGTACCTTTGAATTTACAATAAGAGGTGCATATGCATTTGTATACACATACACAGATACATATACTCACATGTGTCCACCTCCACAGAAACACACACAACACAGAAACCATTGCCACATTCATGGCTGTTCCCAGATGGAAGAGATAAAACTGAGTTTGTCAAAATCAATCACACACCAAACCCAGTAGTGGCCCACACATGAAATGCAGGTGGCCGTAGAGATGGAAGGAGTCTGCATTTACCCTTTCACAGAGATGTGGCCATAGGTGTGCTCCTTCAGCTACAAGAGAAAACAACTTTTTGCATGGAGGTGGATTTTACCACAGGACATCTAGGACTAATCAGCAGAATGGATAGCTGCTTTGAGCCTGCCTCCCTGTTGAAACACTGTTAAGCAGATGTCTGGTAATCAGGATAGTGCTTAATCTCTCCTCTGTTTTCCACAGTTGGTGCTGATAGAGAAGAAGCAGCAGCTGACAGGCCAGTTGGCAGATGCCAAGGAGCTGAAAGAACATGTGGATCGTCGGGAGAAGTTGGTGTTTGACATGGTCTCCCGCTATCTGCCTCAGGACCAGCTCCAAGATTACCAGCACTTTGTCAAGATGAAATCTGCTCTCATCATTGAACAAAGAGAACTGGAAGAAAAGATCAAGCTTGGGGAAGAGCAGCTCAAATGTCTCAGGGAGAGCCTACTCCTGGGTCCCAGTAATTTCTAAATCACCAGCAGTCTGCCACACCATCCCTGACCAGCCACAGTGGAAATGTTTTCATCTTCAGTATCAGTTTGCTAGCAAGTAGATAGCAATTAGTTAGCAGTTTGTTCCAATCCTATTACCCTGGACATTTCTCACTGCTCCTTCCCTAGAAGTGGTCCCAATCAGCAAGGATATCCTAAGTACCAACCTTCTACCTAAGGAAGCTGCAGCAAGATGTGATCAACACAAGAGTATTCTCCTTCCCACAGTGTGTGTGGGCAAGCATCAAACTGCTTATAGAACTGAAAAAGTGCCTTCCTTCTTCTTTGTAGTAGGATACTAAAGACATCTTGAACCCTAAACCACACCATAATGGTTTTTTTTTTTTTTTTTTTTTTTTTTAAGGATCAGAGAAAAGCTATCCATGCAGCTCCTTTATGCCCCAGGGTTTGTGGCCCTGGCCATTTGCTATGGAGATCTGCCTGCCTTGAGGGCATTCATTTACCAGCAGTTTCAAGGGACTCACTCAAGCTTTGCAGTGGGACACACAAAAGGAGCTATTACACACAAGAGAATGTGAGTGAAGGTCAGGTATCCCCAGGTGACTCTCAGGAAAAAGCCAGGCTTAAACAAGTTTGTTGTACTTCTACTTTCCCCAGTAGCTGGTTAACAGGAAAGAAGCCTGCTTACAGCCTTGGCTAGTGTACCTTCCTCCTTCCCTAAGACTGGGTCTGCCACCTTATATTTCATCTTGCTCTCGCATTGTTGGGAGTTAAAGGTTCCCACTTTAATGCTTCACACTGTAGGTCCTTAATAGCTCTATTATAGCTCACTTCAGGATATATATTTCATTATTGGTGGGGAAGTTCTTATTATTATATTTTAAATGGCCTTTTAATTTTATTTATTTTCATGTTTTGATTGATTTCTTTTTCTTTTTTAACTAGTAAGGTGGAGGAGGGAAGTTGGAGAGGGAAAAGTTAGCCCAGGAAAGCATTTTCTGCAGATCAGCCTGAATCCACCATGGCTAGGTAAGCATATGCTGAAGCATTCCGTCCTTCCCACTATAGCTACAAGTGTTTAAGAAAGATGATCTTGAGTTTATAGCTTCCCTATCATGACCAGGCTGCTTTCTTCCCTTGAGGTTTGAATGACTGTGAGCTTACTGTTCCACAGCAGCATTAAACTTTTTCTTATCTTTTTTAAGCCAAAGAAATCTCCTGAAACTGACAAAAGTCACCCATTTTTCTAATGGCTTCAAGTCACAAATGAATAGAGATATGTTCAGGACATGCTTCTCTATTAACTGATTTTCAGCCTATGGTCTGGCTCAGGGAACCAGAACTTTGATAGCCAGGAGTTGCAACAAAGTCCAGCTCCGCAGAACAAACTATGATCCAGTCAATATCTTGGCATGCAGCACCCACTCCTTAGTTTGAGGGATATGTTACAAGACCCTCAGGGGGACACCAGAAACCATATATACACTGTGCCTTTTCTTCCATGCTCTGTAGCAATGCCACATAGAGGTAGGGTTAATTAGTCTTCCCATGTTCTGTGTTCTGGTGCCTCTTTTGATTTATTACTCTTGTGCTTTAGAGTCATTATTGTTAAGAAGGGTTACTTGGGCACAAGTACTATACACTGTAGTACTGCAAAAGCCAGTCTGATAATTGAGATGTCTACTAAGTGACAAAAGGGTGGGAAACTTACACGACTTGGATATGTTGGACAAAAGGAAGATTCATATCCCTGACTGGGATGGAGCTTAATGGAACTAGATTTCATCATACTACTCAGAATGACACACAAGTTAAACTTATGAGTTGTTTATGTTTGGAATTTTCCATTTAATCATTTTGGACCATGGTTGACAATAGGTAACTGAAATTGCAGAAGATGGAAATGCAGATTAAGGGGAGACTACTGTACAAAGAATCCAAGCTAGTGCTGTTTCCAAGGCCCTGACTGGTAGCCAGCTTATATTCTCCCCCAGTGGACAATGGCAGAAAAGAAGTTGTAACCAAACCCTGCCCTGTTACCTGGCTCAGTTCACTGTGACTTGCTGATTGGCATCAAACTTTCATGTCATACAATCCACCTAAGCCCAGTCTACCAAAGCCCTAGCATCACTTGTAAAGCGGAGTTCCTCAAGATGCTTGGAGGTTGACTGTAGTAATGGAGGTACCTCATTCAACCAAAGAAATCACCAAGGAACTTTGTTGCTGCCATAGATTCGAGTCACAGGCTTCCATTTCCTCTTCACTGTATCTGAAAACAATGGAAGAATCTTAGCCAGCAGGGTGTATGTGGGAGGGGGACCCCTTGTGTGAGGCCTTGGCTGTGCTATTAGTACTGCTGCTAGATATGAGAACCACTGTTAATGTCACCCCACCATTCTGCCCTCTAGTGGAAGATTCTTCCCTTATCAAGAAGGCTGATGGCTTATGAATGGCTAGGTTTACTCAACTGAAGGTTGAGCAATGAGGAAAGTGCTTTGAAAAAAGGTGATAGTTGCCACCATTTTTTTTTTAAACAAGGCTTAGAGACAAACAAAAGCAAATTGAAATGTCTTTTACTGGAGGTGCGATGAGGTGAATGCATTCCAGTATTCTAACAGATTTTCGAGACTATGGGGCGTGGGCAAAGAATGATCACTTACCTAGAGACTATGACCACATTATGGATTTTTCTAGACATTGTTAAACTAATTATACCTAAGATAGGTGATATCAAAATTACTATTAACTGTCATTTTCGCCCCTCATCTCACTTCAGATTAGTTTCTATAATTGGAGTCAATATATAAGGACGCTCATTTTCACTTGGAAAAACAGTTTTAAAAATTTAACTCCAAACTATACTGAGCAGCAATGCCCTGTAAACAAAAGTGAACTACTAAACAGACATTGGCATGCCAACTCTTGCTGTGGCAGTCCTGTATAATAGTACTACACAATTGCCAGAATTGTCACTTCCCTATCCTCAATTTCTGGGCTATTCCTCTTCCAAAGCTTTTAGGGCACAGAAGTTTGGAAGGCAAGTGAACAAAACTTGCCATAGACATTTATTGGTTTCAACATGTACTTTGTTCCTTCAAATACTTGCAGAGGTCTCAGAGGGTAAGATGTAAGCAGGGTGGTGAATAGTTAGAAAGGAATCAGTGCAAGTGTTCCTGTCACATGTCCTCTCTTTCTTCCCTCATCCCCAGAGACTCAGCCAGGATATAGAAATAAATGCCCCAGTGGAAGTCAAGATGAGACAAAGACACTAAAAATAAAGCCCAAGTAAGGAAGAGCTTAGAAGCAGAGAAAAGGTGAAAAGATACAATGCCTCTTTCCAAAGTTAGGTTCATACTCTATTTTACATTTAACCTCATGTTAAATGTGCCCCCAAGAAATGCTTCCCAGGGTCACTAGAGTCACATCCTCAATCCCAGCCTCCATGAAGGTGCTGCTTTGCCAGTAGCAGACCCCAGATGGAAGAAGCTGGGCACAGTTATGGAGACTTCCACTACCCATCTGGAACTTTGGCAACTCCTACTGTCTTTGCCAGAGAAATTGTCTATGCCAGTGATGTTTCTGTAACAACACATTATATTATTTGAAGATTAGTAGACCTTTAAGGGGGGACAGGAATATTTTGTTTAGATAAAGAACCAGTGTTTGTTGTACAACTGTGGGGGGGTCACCCATCTATCCCATGTAAAGCTATTATTTTTTCTGAATCTTATTGTTTCTATATTTGTGTCCTCCACCACTCCCTTCTTGGCTGATATAACTATATATCTGCCAAATTGTCACCAAGGGTCATATTTCAATAAAAGGTGCTAAGGACAAAAATAATTGTCTCACATGCTTTGACTCATGTTTTGCCACAACAAAAATCCCTTAATACTCTGCTGTAAAATACTGGAGAAGAATGTGGTCGTCTATCCGTTGTATTTCATAAGCACCTATATGACCAGAGCCTTACTTACATCCCTAAACCCTTAACCCGATCTCTAAGGAATGGTGTTCAAACTGCATCACTCATCATATCTAGGAAAATAGTAAGGTCTGAAATAGACTTTTTTAGGGGAATATTTTTTAGACTTCTATTCCAAGAGTTTCATGAATAAGAACCACAGAGTTTATGCTGTAGATATTTCTGTTGTTACTACAAGATGGAAACATGTTTGCTTTTCTACTGAGAAACATTTCAAAACAACAATGCCTGTCCTTTAGTTCACTGATATATTTATTCCTCTATGCTTAATTGTATTAGTCCATCCTTCTGTTTCTTATAATAAAACACCTGAGGCTCAAAATATATATATAAAGAAATGAGGTTTACTTAACTTACCATTTTGAATGTTCAAGTTCATGGTACTAACATCAGCTCAGTTCTGTGACATCCACCTCAAAGTGGATGGAACCACAGTGGCAGAAATACATGTAAGAAGGAGTAATCTTACCGAAAATCAAAGAACAATTCAGTTGTGAGATTCTTGTTTTTTTTTTTTTAACAAGTTGGTCTCACTAATAATAATTCAGGGATCCCACAACAACTACCATAACCTTTCTGAAGGAGAGCTCCCAGTAACCTACAAAACTCCCAATAGGTTTCACCTATCAATATTGCCACACTGGATACCAGGCTCAAAGTACATGAACTCCTATGGAACAAACTTATGACATATCCAAACTATAGCATTAGTCAATAGCAACATCACAATTAGTCCAACCCCTCATTTAAAATGTAGGAAGATTCAACAACGGAGATGTAATTTTATGGGTAGACCTTAGCAGAATTCAGAGTCCTTTTCTAGAGTCTAGCCTGATTAGCTTTCTATACCTCCTCCAATCTTGAGTTCTATGTATATCATTTTACTTCTTTCTGATAGTTACACCTCACTCCTTCACTCTCAGCTCACTGAAAATCAAGGGAGCTGATGAGTTTTCCAAAACAACCTTAAAGCTTAGACCCAAACATGTTCTGTGCAGCAATTCTGGTTAAAAAGAGCAGACTCTTTTTTAACCTAATTGTCCTCTACATACTTCAGATATCCAGATGTTGGAGAGTGAAAAGTGTACAGTGTTTAATCATTACAATGACTGTGTTCAAATGCTGGTTCTGCATACTACGATCCTGGGTAACTTTCTGAACTTCTGAGATCATTTTCTTATCTATAAAATGGCAATATATCTATATAGCAGGACTGCTGTAACTGGAAAATAATAAATAAAAGCTACAAGCTATCTACTGAGCTGTTGTTAGGCAGACTACCAGGCCCCATCCCAAACTCCTTGACAAGAGTCTGAACTTTAGCTAATTTCCAGGAAATTCATTTGCATATTAAAGTTTAGGAAACAATGGCCTGTCACAAATATACTCAATGGATGATAACTATTCTTATAGTCTTGATACTTCCTTCATTCTAGACATATTCATTCCCTTTTAATTATTTACAATTCCTGCCTAAATGAGTTTAGCAATGCTGCAGGATACACAGTGAATATATTCCTAGGTCCTTTTCCGCTGCAGCAGCAGAATACTTGAAACTGGATAACTTACAATAAACAAAAAAATTTTGCTTCATGTTTCTAGAGGGTGAAACTTCAGAACTTCAAGGAACTTGCATCTAGTGAGGGCCTCTGTGTCATGCCATGACAGAAGGGCAAACAGAAGACAAGAAAAAGCAAGAGAGTCAGTACAAAGACTTGGGTCCTTTTTAAGTCGGCTTTAATACATTCATGAAACTGGAGTTCTCATGGCCTAGCCACCTCCAATTAGATACTACCTCTCGCACTGTGGCACTGAGAATTTAGTTTCAGACACATACTTTCTCACAAACACATTTGAATCATAGCAAAATACAAAATCAAGTGATATTAAAAATATAATTCCTAGATGTTCCATCACAAAGAAATAATAGACATTTGAAGTGATAGATGTACATGTATAGAAGTGTCACAATGTAACCCATAAATATATACAATTATATTGTTTCAATTAAAAATTAAAAAATTGAATATTAAAAGTAAAGCAATTCTATTTACTATAGCATCAAGAATCATAAAAAAGGAATAAATATAACAAAAGAAATGTAAATCTACAAAACACTGTTGAAAAGAATTAGAGAAGTTTAAATAAATGGAAAGAACTTATTATGTTCATGGATTGGAAAACAATGTGTTTAATATAACAGTATGTTCCAAGGTGATCTACAGCATACTATCTGATTTTTTTGCACAAGTTGATCCTAAAATACATATGGAATTGCTAAAATACATATGGAATTGCTAAAATAGCTAAAACAGTCTTTCAAGGAACAGAATTGGAGAACTTACACTGCCCAGTTTCAAAGCCACACTGCAATGCTGCATTAATCATGATAGTACTGTACCGGCACAAGAACAGACATATATATAAATGGGAATGAATAGGGTCTAGAAATCAGCCAGCAGATTTGTGATTGGTTAATTTTCACAATTTTTACTGATACCAAGACAGTAAAGTGGAGGTTCAGTGTCACTGAACAGAAGAATCATGTTGAGCATCTCAGAGAAAATCAACTAAAACACAGGTAATTTGAAGAAACAGAGTGACGACATACATACTGATGCCAAAATCAATCTGAAAAGGGACTTTAGGACTTATAAAGCGTTAATCCAGGCAACAGAACTGCTTATGGGTTTATCAACTGTGGGATCGAAGCAGAAACTGCCGTTCTCTGAAAAAAAAAAAAAAATTGGAGAGACTGACAATGTGTGACAAACTCAATCCACACAGGATAAATCTGGATAAATCCCCTGCCTCTTGATTTCCTGCAAACAGAGGTCAGTGAATCCTGGCAACAAATTTTGCTAATGCACACAGAGAGGCAAATGAATGCCCCCTCACCAATGGGTCACCAATATTTTGTTTGTTCTATTTCTTTTTTTTTTCTTTCCATTCAAAAATATTTTTGTAGCTTTACATTTCTTTTGTTATATTTATTCCTAAGTATTTTAGAATTCTTGAGGCTTTAACTGCTACCTGGAATCTATAATGACAACAAGGTTAGCAACTGGCAGTGGCATTGAGGATAGAAGGAAACAAGATCCCTCCCGCTTTATGACTGGTGAAAAAGAGGGAATCAGACCACACATTCTGCCGCAATCAGTGGCAGCAGGGATGAGGAGTGAGAAATTAGTACTTCCTTGACTTGCAACCAGCAACCAGCAGCACAAGAACCCTTGATCCAGGAAGACAGCACATCATTTAACTTTCCACCAACGATGCAAGCAGCATGGGGCAGCGGAACAAGAAATGGGAAACTAGTATCTACCGTCCTGTGACTAATGAAGCAAGTCCCTTGGACTGAGAAGTCAGCATTCCCTCAGACTTGCAACCAGCAGCTCAGGATAAGGAAGGTAGCATTTGTTCAATTCTATTATACCAGATGATACAGGCAACTCTTTTTAAGATAGCAAGAGGCTAATGGTAACCATTGTTGGCAACCACCTGGTAATCTCTTTTTGTATTATATACTATGTCCATCCTCCTGTTCTGACTCTGTTTTGCTTTGTCACATTGGGGGTTTTTTTGTTTGGTTTGGTTTAGTTCGGTTTGGTTTGGTTTGGTTTGGTTTGGTTTGGTTTGGTTTGTTTTTTTTTTTTTTCCTCTTCAAAGAAAAAGTTATAAGAACTGTGGGAGTAATAAAACCCAAAATGTGTAATTGTTATCATAAAAAAGAGAGGAAAGAAAGTGATCTAAAGGATATAACTGCATGTATATTTAAGTGTGTAGGATAGAAAACCACATTACTGAGTTTTTGTTGGATCATTGAAAAGAACTGTCTGCAATCTCACTGTATAAATGTCCACTTTGTATGCTTTGATTTTGTAATCTGGACAACTGTTTCTGAGATGACAACATGTAATCGGTTAACTAGTGATTGCTTACTGTATATTTTTTCTCTTGAAATTCTGTCTTACTTGTACCCTTTTACTGTTTTGTTTTGTTTCTCTTTAAATAAAAAAGTAGTGAAATTGTTTCAGAAAAAAAAAGAAAGGCTTTGGAACGCAGCAAGATCTTTAAGATGTGAAAGGGGCCAACTATATGTAGAACTGGGAGCATCCTGGGGCTGTCTCTGTCTGAGGGTGCCACTGCAACTAGCAGAGCAATACAGTAACAAACTGGGTAAAGAGACATGTACAGGCCTTCTAGAAAGCTGCTAGCTGAAACCTGGCCACAGTCCCCACATCTGGAGGCCACAATCAGAACCACATCGACTGCAGGTTTTGTAGAACTCTGATTTGGACAATACCACCGAACCGTGGACACAAGAAGAATTTTACTTTCTTTTTTCTTTGTGTCTAGTTGGGGGTTTTTTGTATTTTGAATTTTTGTTTAATTTGGGGGGTATTTTTATTGTTGTTTAGGTTTTTACATATATTTTTGTTCTATTCGATTCATCTATTTTTTCAACTACCTTTTTAATGTTATGATATGTTCAAGTGAGTGGACATTATCTCAGTCTTTCTGGTTAGCTTCTATAATCTTTTGGTTTCTCCTTCATTGTTTCTCTTCTGCATTCTTCTCCAGTTTCTCACAGATTTCATGATCATCCTTTGTCCTACAGCCTTGTTCCAACTATTTTCTCTTCATCTTTCTGTTTTATCCCCTATACTTCTTCAATTTACTCACCACAGGCTAAAATTACTCCACTAGGGGAAAACTCATTGCATACAAGTTCCTTAATTATATTGAATTTTCCTATATTACTATATATCTTGCCCTGTGGTTCATGGTGTCAAATTAAGAGTTACCTGTTGGTCAGTTTCTAGGCTGTACTTGATGCTGTTGTTATCACTGATTG